CTCGATGTCGGCCTTGATCTGGTTGAACTCCAGCTGGGCCCGGAGGATCTTGCCTTCCTCGTGCTCCAGAGAGGCCTGGAGAGTGTGAGTTTATGTGGGGGGAGATAGTATTGGGTGAAGGGAGAGAACAAAATGGCTGTGTGAGAGAACAAAATGGCTGTGTGAGAGAACAAAATGGCTGTGTGAGAGAATGGTTATATGAGGAATTGCAGGGATAAAACAGGCAGCATAGCTGTGGCTGCACAAATAAATTTACTTTAGAGTGTATTAAGCAGGGGTCATTTCCTGCGGGAGCGCACAGGAGCGGAGCTCTGGCAGTAAGCTGTAGGAAGCCCAGGGGGCGGGCACATGCAACAAGCCCCGCCACCTGCTCCCAGCAGGCCTCAGTTGGGCCACGAGGAACAAGAAGCAGCCAGGTAAGTTGCAGAGCCCCCCCCCCCGCCCGCCTTCAGATACAAGCTCTCCCTCCTCTGTGAGGGCAGATCTGTGCATTCTCTCCCCCCATAGCTAGCAATCCAAAACAGTCCAGTGGCACCTTTAAGACCAAGTTTTATTCAGGTACAAGCTCTCCTTCCTCTGTGAGGACAGATCTGCCCGTTCCCCCCACCACCAACAGCTAGCAATCCAAAACAGTCCAGTGGATCCTCAGCAGTGGGTGCTGCCTTCTGACACACATCCGGTGATGTCAGGAGGTGTGACGTATGCAAATGAGTTATGTTAATGAGTTATGCTAATGAGCTCCTGCACCTCTCTTTCTACAAAATGACCCCTGGTATTAAGTATTATTTGCTCTGACCTGGATGGCCTCACCTAGCCTGATTTTAACAACTCTGAGAAAATATGCAGGGTCGGGCCTGGTTAGTATACGGAAGGGAGATCACCAAGGAAGTCCAGGGTTGCTACACTGAAGCAGGCAACGGCAAAACACCTCTGTTGGTCTCTTGTCTTAAAAATCCTACTGGGTCACCATAAGTTGGCTGCAGGCCCATAGCTATGGCGGGGGCTTGGGGGGGCTATGCCCCCTTTCTTAAAGGCACAGCCCCACAAGCATTTCTCCTGTAAAGGCTTTTTGCAATCATTTAAAAACATTTTTTAAAGGTGTGCACTCCTTTAAGCAGAGTGGGGGGCTGTAGTTGACTCATTCTCATACTGAGCACTGGGGTTGGAGTAGGTGACCTCTAGGATCCCTTCTAACTCTGTGTCAAGGAACTGGTCTCCTTTAAGAGAGTTTTTCTGCCTAAGTGTAACCTTTCTTGACTCTAGAAGTCATCCCCCCCACCTGCCGACTTGTTCTCAGAATTGTTGCTTAGGCTGGCAGAAGTTATTAGCTTGCAGCAGCTGAGAACTGTGGTTGACAGCTTGCAATGGAGAGATCTATCCTGGTCACAGCTTTCCATGGCTAAATGGCTTTTCTTCCTGCACTGAGGACTTCAGCCCGTCTTGGAAAAAAATCTACCCCACAAGCCACAACATCCTGGCTACGGGCCTGGTGGGCTGTGACCTTGGCAGCGCTTTCCGCCACCACCCAGTATTCAGCCAAGCCTGGGATCTCCAGCATGGTGCCTGTGAACATTGTGGTACCTACTAACACCTTTTATGGAGCCCACCAAGTGTTTTTTTAGAAAAATGGGTGGGGCCAGGTGGGTTCTGACTGGCCGTTGGAGATTTGACTAGCTGTGCAGATTTTTTAAAATGTTGCCTGGGCAGCAGCTGCCACCACGATACAAGGATCTGACTGAAGGTGAGCAGGGGCAGCCATTTTGTGGCTGGCTCTGCCTCCCATGGTGGCCATTTTGTGCCTCCCATGGCGGCCATTGTATGCCCACTCCGTCTCTTGTGGCAGCCATTTTGTGGCTGTGCCCGCCATGTTTCTTTCAGAATCCCAACAGTGCCCAGAGGCTCAGAAAGGTTGGGGAAACCCCTGAAGTAAGGGGTGTTGTGGGAGCTTCCCGACCCAGGGCCCTCCTCACCTCAGCCTCCTCAAGGGCCGCCTGCAGCTCCATCTTCTCCGCCTCCAGCTGCTTCCGAATCTTCTCGAGCTCATGAATGCTCTTGCCGCTGGCTCCAAGCTGCTCGGTAAGATCGGAGATCTCCTCTGCCGGGAGGAACGGGAAAAGCGAATCAGCTTCCGTCCACCAGAGAGAGACTCGGTCAGGGAACAGGGGACCCACTCTCTTGCCCAGGGCTTTTTTTGTAGGAAAAGCCCAGCAGGAACTCATTAGCATAATAGGCCACACCCAGCAGCAGAAACTCATTAGCATATTAGGCCACACCCCCGACAGCACAGCTCATTGGCATATTAGGCCACACCCCCATGTTACCAGAAGTGTGCCCATCCAGCCACACCCACCTTTTGCTTCTTATTCTGTTTACCTTGTTTGTTGTCAAAACCCAGGGGGTTTTTTTTGTAGCAGGAACTCCTTTGCATGTTAGGCCACACACCCCTCATGTAGCCAATCCAAATGAGTTTCTGCTGTTGGGTGTGGCCTATTATGCTAATGAGCTCCTGCTGGGCGTGGCCAACTTGGGAGCCAGCCGAAACTCCGTTCCTGAGCGTTCCTGCCCCAAAATAGCCCTGATCTTGCCCTCGCCTGTTCACCAAGAAGGGACGGAGCTGAGGCCTAGATGGGTGAGGGAAGGGGCCTGAAAGGCTCACCCTGCAGGTTCTTGTTCTCCCTCTTGAAGGTCTCCAGGTGCTCCAGCGACTCCTCGTAGGCGTTCTTCAGCTTGAAGAGCTCGGTGCTGAGCGAACGGGCCTCCTTCTGTGAGGACTCGAGCTCCGTCTGGGACTCCTGAAACTTCTGCTTCCACTCGGACAGGAGCTGGGGGTGGCCAATGAGCGGGTGACAATAAGGTCCGGACTAAGTATACACTAGTCAGGGATGCTCTAGGCTGCTCCTGCATCGAGCAGGGGGTTGGACTAGATGGCCTGTATGGCCCCTTCCAACTCTGGGATTCTAGGATTCTATACCCGGAAGTGATGTCATTATGTCTGGGGTGTTGGGATGACGCTCTGGTATTTGGACAAAAACTCTATGGTGAATTTGGCTTCTACCACAGAGTTTTTGCTGTACGTCGGATGGATATTACTCGTTTTTGGGGTAAGCCCCCCTCCCCGCCAGCCAGCTGATCAGGGGTAGAGAGGTGGGGCCCTGCCTCCACTGGGGGGGGGGTCTGGAAGCCCTAGTCTGGAGCCTCTGCTCTTATAGGGCTCCGTGGCTGTTATCTCCAAAACGGGTGATGGGCCTCCTCGAAGAGACTTTGAGTAGCTGCTAAGGGTTCTGGGAGCTCGGATGGGTCACCTCCCTGCCTTCTTTAAGTCACTCTCCTCCTTCCTCTTTGCCTATTCCTGAGTTATAGGGAAATTCCAGAGTTATAGGGAAATTCCATACAAGATATGGAAGTATACCGTCTGAGATCCATACCGGATTGAAGCTGTCTCGCAGTATCAGTGGAACTATTTATCAGCCTTACTTCTTAGAACCCTTCAGATTGGGGAAGGTAGAAGTTGAGCCCCAAACCTTCTGTACCAATGCTCTTGATGTGGCAACACGCAGTGCTCCTTTCTATTGCACTGTGCTGTTTGGTATTTATTCATTTAAGGTGTTTCTAACCCATCTTCCCCTATGAACGAACTCGACGCAGCTCCGTTCTGTTGAGTGGGCTCAGGATCTTTCCTTGACTCAAGAAAGTTCAGAAAGTGTTCCCTATCACCACTAGGTGGAGCTCAGGGATGCCAGCCTCCAGGAGAGACCCGGGGATCAAGGCTCCCTCTAAGCTGTGGAGTCTTGTAAGCAAGAATTCTACTTTGTGAGCGACTGAAAGTTGTGAGCGAGCGACTTGGCTACTGTGTAAATTAGTCTGCTCTGGAGCCGCCCTTCCTGAGCGAAGACAAAAAGGTGTGAGCCGGAGGCTAAAAAACTGTCAGCTAGCTCACACCAACTCAGCTTAGAGGGAACACTGCTGGGAATCCCCTGGAATTACAGCTCATCTTCAGACTACAGAGATCAGTTCCCCTGGAGAAAGTGGATGCTGTGGAGGGCGGGCTCTTCCACTGAGGTCCCTGTCCTCCCCAGGCTCCATCCCCAAATGCCCAGGAGTTTCCCAATCTGGATCTGCAGGTGCTTGGTGCAGAGGGAGGGGCTTCTAGTGTCCTGGCCCCACTCGTGGACCTCCTGGTGGCACCTGATACCTTTGGCCACTGTTGTGTTCCAACGGAGACCGCGCACATGGTTGAACCGGGCACACGGTCTCCCAAACAGCCAGAGCTTTGCTCCCAGAAACAATAGGCACAGAAGATTCTAGGAACAGCCTATTGGCTAATCAGGATCCTCAAGGAAACCTATCAAATGGAGGTTAATGTAAATAAGCCAATCACGGGTGCGTGGGGGTGTGTTTGTGTTTGTGCATTTAAGCAGCCCTCGGGCTTGCCCTTGTATCTCAAGTTCTTGAAATCACTAAGTAAAGTATGAGCTGAAATCACTCAACGATGCGTCAGTCTCAGTACTTTATAGCCACTGTGTGAGACAGAGTGTTGGACTGGATGGGCCATTGGCCTGATCCAACACTGGCTTCTCGTATGTTCTTGTGTTCTTAGTCGCTATAAGCCACAAGGTATAGACAGGAACTCTCGGACTGGGGCAAGGGATGCTCTGTATTCTTGGTGCTTGGGGGGGGGGGCAACAGTGGGAGGGCTCCTAGTGTCCTGGCCCCACTGTTGGACCTCTTGATGGCACCTGGTATTCTTGGCCACTGTGTGACAGAGTGTTGGACTGGATGGGCCTTTGGCCTGATCCAACATTGGCTTCTCGTATGTTCTTATGTCTGGGGCAAGAGATGCTCTGTATTCTTGGTGCTTGGGGGGGGGGCAACAGTGGGAGGGCTTCTAATGTCCTGGCCCCACTGCTGGACCTCCTGATGGCACCTGATATTTTTGGCCGCTGTGTGACTCAGAGTGTTGGACTGGATGGGCCACTGGCCTGGTCCAACATTGGCTTCTCTTATGTTCTTATGTAAAATCGCTATGACTGGGTCGAGGGGGTGGGCAGACCTCACCGATCACATCCCATCCTCTGCCTCCCCCTTGTGTTGGACTGGATAGGCCATTGGCCTGATCCAACATTGGCTTCTCTTAGGTTCTTATGTTCTAACCCTACCCCCCCCATCCCCTAGGTTTGCTGGTTGCCAGGTTCTGGCAGGGGTTTCCCTGATTTTCGGGTCTTCTGCCCACCACCGGCCAGCTAGCTGGTGAGGGAAACCCCGCCTCCAAACAGCAACGTCACCCACTCTGGTCTGAGGGCAAAACTCTATGGTTTGAAGCTGGTTTTACCATTGAGTTTTGCCCCAAAACCAGAGCGTCGCTGTGTGATGTTTCTGGCACGATGATGTCACTTCCGGGTAACGCATTGCATCAGGGACCCTCCTGCCCACTCACCTGCTGCAATACCCATGCCCTGTGCCCCTGGGGAAAGGCACAGGCTGTGAGCACAGGCAGTGGAAGTGCTTGTGAGCAGACAAGGGAAGGGCAGCCTGGCAGGTGGGTGGGAGGGAAGGAGGGCCCGGTGGCGGGCAGAGGAAGGGAAGGAGGCCCTCGGAACTCTCTGCCCAGGGCCCCCCGAAACCTAGAACCGGTCTTGCCCCATTTCCTCCCTTCCATACTTTGTCAAAGTTCCTCTGCTTCTTGTCCAGGGCTGCTGCGGCCGCATTCGAGCGCTCCACGTCCACCATGAGGTCTTCGATCTCGTTCTGCAGGCGGTGTTTGGTTTTCTCCAGGGAGGAGCACTTGGCGTTCACAGCCTCCACGGCCTCCTCGGCGTCCTGCAGCCGCTGCGCCAGCTTCTTCCTGACACACGGGGGGGGGGGCGACAAAGAGTCAGTAACCAGTACCCATGTCTGGTACAAGGCTGCAGAAGACACGAGGAGAACCTCCAAGACTGCAAAGTACGCCTCGAGTGCTTTTCCTTATGGAGATATAAGGAGAAAGTATGTAATGCTGTCCCACTGCCGGTTTGGTAAGATGCAAAGATGCTCCCCTGCCTTCCACTTTTCTGCCCCAGGGAATGCAAAGTCACTGGGATAACTGACAATGGCCCCGGTCACACGCGCAGGAAACTGCGGGGGAGAAGTGTGGCTGTTTGCCCCGGGGCAAACTAACACGCAGTAAAGTGATCATACCTCCTGTGGAGGTTCTGTGGAGGTACCGTGGAGCTTCCGTGGTTACGGAGAGGCGTCGATCACAACACATGCCTGCGCGCAACGAAGAAGCGCGCGGCGCGGCGAACTGGGTTTCTTTTTTTGTGTACACTACGAATGCGCATGCTCCGTCGAGTGCTTATGCGCAACCACGGAGACTTGGGGAAAAAAAAAACCTTCTTCGCAAGGGGACATGGACGGGCGCCGGATGCCACCGGAAACGCGATCAGACGCCCGCCCTTGCCCCGCAGTTTCCGGAAACTAGTACCTCCGAGGTACTAGTTTTTTGCTCCGTTTTATCGGCGGTTCGCCACAGTTCAACCACGGGAGCTCTACGCTCCCCAGATGTTGCCGTGTGATCGTGCCAGGTAACTCCGCCTCTCTTCCGTCTATTTAGCGTGGCTTCTGCTCCGTGTGAACGGGGCCAATGTTTTATTGTTAAAACGGTATAAAAATTCAATTTGTACAAGCTGGGGGCCCACAAAGAATTACTGCTGGGTCGCCCATTGGTAAACTGCTCCACCTGTCTTTTCGCCATCAGGTTGCAGCTGTCTTATGGTGACCAATGCTCCCTCTAAGCTATGGAGTCCTGTGAGCAAAAATTCTACTTTGTGAGCCACTGGCATTAAAGTTGTGAGCAGGTGATTTGGCCGCAGTTTGCTCTGGCCGCAGCTAGCTCACACTAACTCAGCTTAGAGGGAACACTGATGGTGACCCCATAGGGTTTTCAAGGCCGGAGACATTCAGGGGTGGTTTGCCATTGCCTACCTCTGCATAGCGATTCTGGTATTCCTTGGTGGTCTCCCATTCAAATACTGACCAGGGCTGATCCTGCTTAGCTTCCAAGGTCTGATGAGACCAGGCTAGCCTCGGCCATCCAGGTCAGGGGCTGGTCTGTCTAGCTGTCCCTTTACTATCTGTTTGATAGGCAAGCAATTCTGGGGTGAATTAACTCCCAGCCGTGAAAAGCTTTAACTGCCCATTTCTAGTCATTAGTACCCCATTAAAAGGATAGGGAAGGAGCTGCGGTGGCTCAAGTGGTTCAGACGCTGAACTGCAGGCTGTGGAAGGTCGGTAGTTCAGCAGTTCGAGACCCGGGTGCCGCATGACGGAGTGAGCTCCCGTCTCTAGTTCCAGCTCCTGCCAACCTAGCAGTTCGAAAGAAGACATTGCAAGTCGATAAATAGGTACCGCTTCGGTGGGAAGGGAACAGCGTTCCGTGCGCCTTGGTGTTTAGTCGTGCCGGCCACATGACCACGGAAATGTCTTTGGACAGCGCTGGCTCTTTCGCTTTGAAATGGAGATGAGCACCGCAACCCTAGAGTCAGATTCGACTGCGTTTCAAGCAAGGGAACCTTTACCTTTTTAAAAGGATAGGGACCTTTACTGCAAAGAGAGGAAAGGGACCACCTCTTCCCATATACGCCCCTAGGGTTCCCAAGTACTTACCGCGATTTGGCGGGGGAAACATGCTCCCCGGATGGACCATTCCTCCCTGTAACGCACCATGCCGTCGCCAGGAAGTGACATCGTGCGATGCTCTGGCAATGGGGCTGGAAACTCGATGGTACCCCAATACCAGAGCATCGCACGGCGTCACTTCCTGGCGACGGCATGGTGCAGCGCGTCTGTTGTCCCCGCGGGAATGATCCTGCGAAGACGTCTGTGTCCCCTGCCGAATCACGGTAAGTACTTGGGAAGCCTGCGAAGAGCTTTACGCTCTAGTAATCAACATCTCCTGGTGGTCCCTGGCCCAATAGACG